AGCAAGGTATTGAGGCATCTTCTTGATAAGAAGTGGCTTGAAATCTTCCCTCTCCTCTCTTGGGCTGGTTTAATTTCTCCTCAAGACCAAAGAAGGCTCTTATTAGGCTGGTAATTGATTTAGATGGGTTTTTATTTACCAGCACAAACTTTTCCTTCCCCTTTATCTTTTTTTTATTTCTTAGAAAAATAAAAATTTTTTTCTTTTAGGACAACAAGGTTGTGCTGAAGTGATAGTCTGAATGTAGGCTGGTGTTGATCTCTTGGAGTGAAGATCAAAGGTATCCAATTTCAGAAAGGAGCAATTCTATCATTCCTCACAATCATATCTAGAGAGTTAGGATTTGAAAAGTCTAAGATAGTTAGTACCACGCAGTAATAGCTTAATGAACTTACTCCCTTGTAATGAAATAGTTAGTAAATAGCTAGATCATGTAGGCAACATGGTGGTCTTGGTATTAAGGATTCAAGGATCATATACAAATCTAAATTCATTGACGGGTATTCTGCAATTACGTGATAGTTTAGCTTTAGTATAGTATTATATATTGTACTACTGTTTTCCAAAATTGGATGAATAAACACTACTGTTGCAGTCTGATTAGAGACAAAAAAAAAAAAAAATTAATAGAAAATAAAAATTCTACTATTAATTTAAATTATTTAAATTTGTTATTGATCTAATTATATTATAAGAGGAAGAATAAAAACAATAGTAACATAATTAGGGTCATGTGACCAATGATCGACATGTGATCGTGAGAAGAAAATAAAGATAAAAATAGATTTAAAACTAGTATTAAAAAAGAAATAATAATGATATAATTAGTATTAGATTAAATAATAGTATTAGAATTATGGAAAAATTCTTTATCTTTTATTATATTTCCAAATTGTTCTTAAAATTTCCTTGTAAAAAAGTATAAAATATTAGTATTTATTCTTTAAAATGGAAAGACATAAATAATAGTGACTAAAGTAAATTAATAAAGAGAAATTATTTATCTCGGTCAAATCAAATATCTTGTCAAAATCATCTTCTGTCACAATATATAAGATAAGATTTAATTAGAAAAGTTAATCAAATGTCTCTTGTCTTTTATACAATTATTATAAGTTTGTTTTAAACAATTATTATATCTTTTTTGAAAATTTCAATCTTAATATTTATAAATTAATATATAAATTAATTTTTTTTTTCCAGTAGGTAAATATCATTTCTTTATTTATTAGTATTATACTTAAAATTATATATACTTATGAAAGAAACAACATTTCTTGGATACAGAGCATACAACAAGTTAAATGTTAGCTTGCCTACCTATCTATATTTAGTTAATATTAAAAAGAATTTAAAACAATATTATATATGCTAAATATAGTTGAAAACAGTTATGCTTACTTACTCAGAGTTTTTGGATTGAATATAAAAAAAATAGAAAATAGAAAAAAATTAAAAAGGAAAATAAACTGAAGCTATAATAATATTGACTACTGAAACTAAAACTAAATTACTTGAACTATAAGATCTATATAAACAAAAGGAATATCTAAAAGGTGACCAATAGTTTGGCCTTTGTATCGACACTGGTCTTAAAGATGTGATCCTTGTTAATATAGATAATATAGTATAATTGATATTATTTGTTATTATTATTATTATATTGGAAAACTGATTTGAACAGGTTTGATTTTTTTTGTTGTTTTAATAAAATTTGATTGGATGATTAGAGAGCAACTATTATTTGAAAGGTAAACTGATTTCAGTTTTTTGAAGAAAATTTTTTGAAAGTTTTGAAATAACACAATAAATAATGCTATGGTAAAGTTATATGTAAAGATTGTATTGAAACAAACAATAAATCCAACAACTTTGTTTAAGTATGTTTTTGAAAAAGTGTTTAATTTAGCGAGTTTAATGATATTAATGGAAATAGTTTTTGTGATATAATAAAAGAAAGAAGGGGTACAAGAGAACAAAAGAAAAGAGAACTATCACGAGCCTTTTCTTATGCAACTGAAGGATAAACAAGACTTCCAAACTTGAGTAGACTTCAACCAGAGGTTCCATTTTATTGCACCAGTAGTCTTGAAGGTTCTTAAGTTCTTGAATTAGGACTCACTTGTGATAAAAAGTATAAACCATTTTTCTTGCTTAAAATTACTATAAAAAAATTTTTTTAACAAAATGGATGCAATCAAAAGAGTTTTTTTTAATTGTAAATAAATTAATTTTTTTATAAAAATATTATTTGATTAGTTATAGTATTAGCAATTATTTTTAAATTAATTCAACTGTTTTTAATTGAAATTAAACTGATATCTTGTAATTTTATTTGTAAAGTATTAATTACTATGCTATAGATTCGCAAGTTCATATATAAAGTATAATTACTTGAACCTGTTTTTAATCAATTATAATAAATATAAATTATATTAATCATTTTTAAAAAAAAAAGTAAAATAATTATTTTTTCAAAAATTTTGAACACTTTATATACTACAGTATATAATAATTAGCAAAGTTTAATAATGAAATTTTTTTAAAAAATTTTTTTATTAATTTTTTTTATGTTTTTATTATAAACTTTTTAAACATGATTTATATTTTGTTATAAAATAGTTAAAAAATAGTTAGAAAAAAACAAGAAGATAAATAAAAATTATTTTATTTTAGTAATTTAAAATTCAGTGTTATTGAAGAAAAAAAATATAATATATTTTTATATAATTCTAATTTTATATTCATATTAAACAATATTCATTATTATTATTATTCAAAAACTTTATTATTATCTGAGTAATCGAGTCTAATTTATTATAAGTATTACTTGATATTATTTAACTCAATTTTGCATTACTTAATAAACGTTTACAATATTTCAATTTAACAACTCTGAAAAGCTAGAATAGAACCGTTTATTGTTACAACTTAAATCAACTAGAAACTAACAGTAAGATATGTTTTATAAGTAGTGTTATTAAATAAAAAAAGAGCTATTTTTATTTTTTTAATTATTAATTTTATTTTAAGAGAAATGTTTTATCCTTCTAAAAAGTATATCTAAGATCACAGCTATTGTTTCATCCAATAATTTTAATTAATAGTCAGGATGGTATTCTTGCATGTTACCTCGGCTAGTGTTTTTCTTCCCAATTCTCCCAAATTATTACCATCTAAATTTAAAAGGGTCAGGGTGGTATTCTTACATAGTGCCTCGGCTAGTGCTTTTCCTCCCGATTCCCCTAAATTATTATATCTCAAGTCCAAGTTTGTCAGGGTGGTATTCTTGCATAGTGCCTCGGCTAGTGCTTTTCCTTCCGATTTTCCTAAATTATTATCATATAAATTTAAATTGGACAGGGTGGTATTCTTACATAGTGCCTCGGCTAGTGCTTTTCCTCCCGATTCTCCTAAATTATTATTATATAAATTTAAATTGGACAGGGTGGTATTCTTACATAGTGCCTCGGCTAGTGCTTTTCCTCCCGACTCTTCTAAAATATTATCCCTCAAATTTAAATCGATCAGGGTGGTATTCTTGCATAGTGCCTCGGCTAGTGCTTTTCCTCCCGATTCTCCTAATCTATTAGATCCCAAGTCCAAGTTTGTCAGGGTGGTATTCTTGCATAGAGCCTCAGCTAGTGTTCTTAATGCCGATTCTTCTATTTTGCTATTGTAAATGACCAATTTTTTCAGGATAGTGTTATTGCATAAAGCATATCTTAATGCTTTTCCTGCTACATAACCTAATCTGCTTCTTTTCACATTCAACCCCGTCAGGGTGGAATTACCGCATAAAACTGAGGTCAATCCTCTAAAGACGTTGTCATGTAGACCTTCAATGCTTATATTTGAATTGGTTATCTTTACATTATAAAAATCTCCGCACAGACAATTTATTGACACTTCTGTATCACATATTAGCTCAATATTGCTTGAATTTGGTAAATGTGATGCCGGTTTATCAGCTAATGTATTAAACGTATTATTAGTTTAAATTAATTAGGTAATAAACTAATATTGATGTAAAAAACATACTTTACCTTCATGTACGATAGTTTCGTCATGATTAGTTAATTTTCTCCGTTTTATTGGGCCTATGATAGATAATATATATAAGTTTAATAATAATTAAATAATTAATAAAAATTTGGAACTTACTAGTTTTTTCGTTTAGCAAAAAATTTATAGAGTGCTTTAAAGAGATTAACGAATTTTTGCTATAGTATAAACTATCAGTGCTTCTGACAAACCCGGTACTGGATAATGTATTAGATTAGATAATTTATATTATTTCGATAGTTAATGTAAAACGGTTACTTACGAATCTTTCATAATATCGAGAGAACATTTAGAATAAGATTCTTTAAAGAAAAGATATATATTAAGTTAAATTAGTAGTTAAAATTTTTTTTATAGAAAATTCATAATTACCTAATAACGATTCTGCACTTAAACTATATCTTAAAGTATTTATAATGTGATCCAATGATTGACTAAAATGTGTACAGGAAGTAGTCGTAATTTCTAGTTCATTTGTAAACTTCCTGAGTTTAATTTTTTGTAATTTTTTTTCTGCATCATAAAATACACCACTAAATTCCCATTCTGGTGAACTTATTACTTCGTATATCTTATTAATTGATGGTCTCTGTAAGGGATCCAGATGCCAGCACTTTTCCATTAATCTAGCCCATAATTCCGGTGTATCATCAGTAATTTTAGGACGTAGTCCGCGACATATATCTAAAGCAAGATTGATATTCTGTTCTCGATCATAAAAAGGACGCATTCCTGTCGTGAGTTCCCACATAATCATGCCTAAACTATAGATATCGGAACTAAAGGAATATGGTTTTCCGTTAAATATCTCAGGTGCGATATATGATATGATTCCATATGTACCTATTCCTGGATCTTTATCCGCAGGTCGACTAAGTCCCAAATCAGCAATTAACGAATAACTCTCTTGATGCTCTATAGTTCTATTATATATGTCACGATCTATAATATTTTTTTGAAGCACTAATATATTTCCACTATGTATGTCACGATGTATGATATTTTTTTGATGAATCCACTTAATACCCATAACGAGACTTTTCAGTAAATTTACTTTCGACCCTTTACTTTTTCCCCAATCCGTCCATTTAACATCATTAAAATGCTTAATTAAATACTCGCGCAAACTTCCATGTTCCATATATGGCATAACGAATATATAATTTTTTGTTGTTGGATCTTGTGACACACCATAAGATTGAATTATATAACGATTAGAGTTAGGTTGAGTTAGAGCAATATTATTTAACTGCGGAGGTAAATAAATAAAATATTTAATAATTATTATAAGTACTATATTATGTAAGAAAAAAAACCACATCTATTTTACCTCCTTTATAAATGCCGAATTAATATTTTGAGAGTCCTTAAGAACTTTTAATATAATTTTTTCTGAACCTGCTCGATCGAATCCTACTCCAGAATAACGTGTAATTCTTCCTTTTACCCATAAAGCCGTAAATATTGTACTAAATCCACCTTCCGTAACTCGCTGGATATCTGTAAATTCTTCAAAGGGAATCCACTCTAACCTATTTTTAGGATTATTTCCATGTGTTGATTTAATTAAATTATCAATATCAGGATTTCCACTATTAACAGATTGAAATCGTGCGGAATAACAATTAGTACATATGTCTCCGTTTCCATATTTAAGACTTCTTTTTTTATTACATCCGGAACATTTTTCAGGCATGTTTTATCAATAATATAAACCTGGTATTTTGTGAGAAAAGAAAAACCAAATTTCTGTAGTATAATATTTATCTAACACTAGGCATTTTTTTATAGGAAACTTCGGCAGCATATTTGTATCAACTGCAATGTATATGCAATGTATGGAGTAATCCAGAAAGCTTATTACCTAATATCCATCCAAAACTGATGAACTGCATCTACCGCTTTCCTAGCCAATTAATATTTTAAAGGTGAAAGCTTCTATAATATTTAATTCCATTGAACTATTTACATTTCACAAGACCGTATACTGTACGTAAATAATTTATAGTAAATTTGAATGATATCGGGAAAGGGTAAAATGCCTGCAGCACGTATTTCAAAATTTTTTTAACAGTAATACACATAAAAAATAATAATACCGTACGTATAACGCATCAATAGCTATTGTACTCATAAGTTTAATACGTCGTCTTTATGCTGCAAAACTCGAACTGTTTTTTCACGATATAGCCATAAAAGTCGAATAAAACTGTTGTTATATAGCAAAGTTTAAGTTACTATTTTAGGACGCAGAGAAAATGTTCCTTATGTGTCACTCGTGCAGCATTCTTATCATAGGTGCGCTTATAATGAAATTTCCGGATTAGAGTAAACAACCCTTACATTAATATAAAGATGCATGTTTTGTCACGTAACGAACTTTAATAATTTTGACTGAAAAATCACATAGGAGACATTATGGCTTTATGGGTAAAAGGAAGAATTACACGTTATTCTGGAGTAGGATTCGATCGAGCAGGTTCAGAAAAAATAATATTAAAAGTTCTTAAGGACTCTCAAAATATTAATTCGGCATTTATAAAGGAGGTAAAGTAGACGTTTTTTTTTTCTTACATAATATAGTACTTATGATTATTATTAAATATTTTATTTATTCGCCTTCGCAGTTAAATAATATTGCCCTAACTCAACCTAACTCTAACCGTTATATTATTCAATCTTATGGAGTATCACAAGATTCGAAAACAAAAAATTATATATTCGTTATGCCATATATTAAACATGGAAGTTTGCGCGAGTATTTATTTAAGCATTTTGATGATGTTAAATGGATGGACTGGGGAATAAGTAGAGTGTCGAAAGTAAATTTCCTGAAAAGTCTCGTTATGGGCATTAAATGGATTCATCAAAAAAATATTATACATCGTGATTTACATAGCGGAAATATATTAGTGCATCAAAAAAAAATCATACATCGTGACATAAATAGTAGAGATAAGTTAGTGCATCAAGAGAATTATTCATTAATTACTGATTTGGGACTTAGTCGACCTGCGGATAAAGATCCAGGAACAGGTGCATAT